AGGCCGGGTCCGGCTGAGCTCCTGTGGATGCAGCAGAATTTGAAAGATCGTACTTAAAAGTGACATTAAAACTTGTGTTCCACTTGACTGGAGCAGCTTTGTGCCAGTGCTGTGCTGCAGTTCGAAGGCCCGATCCTCCCGGCTGCTCCCCGATCCCTCCACACACTGGCAATTGTCTTTGTTCCTCAGTATGCAAGTAGTTCAACTGCCTAAATATGCACCAAAAAACTAGTAATCTAGGACACACGATACATTATAGATGGTGATATAGCAAACACTTACTTCTATCTGAATACGTAACATTATTCCAAGGGAGTTTCAAAAATAAGGATCATCACTTGCTGCCTGTTGGCTCCTATTGATCCATTATACATGAATCCATGCAATTATAATTCCGATTATATGCACTTCCCAGTCTCTGGCCCATTTTCTTGGTTAAAAGCAGTTGGTGGAGTATTTATTGAATTCTAGGGTTAGAAAAGTCCTCCTTGACTGTATTTCTCACAGTTCTGAATGGCTGCAGAACTTCAGCACAGCCATGGTTTCACCCTCATTCTTCCATTCTTTGGAAGACACAGATGAGGCACTTGTGGCCAGAATCGCACCATGGGGGCGAGAGGCCAGAAATACCCCCACCCTCCGTCCTCCTGAAGCCCACTGCTTGGGAGGGAGACTTCCCAGGCATTCTCTGGGCCGTAGGAACAGGAGAGGACAGCTAAAAGCAGACCTGAAGGAGCAGAGAGATGCTTCTCGGGAAAAGCTGTCCTACCTACAGCGCTCCCCATGCAGCACTAGGTTGTGTCTGATGGACAACATTATTACTTGGCTGGTTCTTTTTCTTCAATTATTCCTACTTCTCTTCACAGAATCACATGGGGTTGGAAGGGACCTCTGGAGATCATCTAGCCTAACCCCCCTGCCAGAGCAGGTCTACCTATAGCAGGTTGCACAGGAACTTGTCCAGGCGGGTCTGGAATGTCTCCAGAGGAGGAGACTCCACCACCTCTCTGGGCAGCCTGTTCCAGGGCTCTGCCACCCTCAAAGTAAAGAAGTTCCTCCTCATGTTTAGGTGGAACTTCTTATATTCAAGTTTGTGCCCATTTCCTCTTGTCCTATCCCTGGGCACCACTGAAAAAAAGACTGGCCCCATCCTCTTGACACCCACCTTTTAAGTATTTATAAGCATTGATCAGATGTCCCCTCAGCCTTCTCTTCTCCAGACTAAAAAGACCCAAGTCCCTCAGCCTTTCCTCATAAGGGAGATGGCTCCAAGCCCCTAATCATCTTCGTAGCCCTTCACTGTACCCTCTCCAGCAGTTGGAGAATATCCCAACATTCAACTACCTTTTCATCTTGGGGTGCTGAAAGCAGTGAAAGTCTCTGTAGCTGCCAAGAGGAACTGTAGGTGAGACTTTGGCTTGTGCAAGAAACTACTGCTGCCCCCCTCTCTGGACTTGGTCCAGGGGGAACAGTATCACTGAAGCCGAGGTCTATAGGTAGAAGTAATATCTTATATTGTAACAACTGGAAAAAGAAGACAGCTGTTTGGGATGCAAGAACCTGTCCCAGAGAAATCAAATTCTCTCAGAGTTGCCGACAGAAATTACATCTCAAAGAGAAGCACTCTTCTTACAACGTGTCACACAATGTTTGTACAGAACAGATTCCCACCTTTTGTCATCCTATCCAAAGACTTATGCAATAAACTGTAATGGTATTATAACCAGGGCGTGAGGAACAAAGAGCGTTGTAGCCGGAACAAACCAGAGCTAAGAACTGGGGAGACCAGAAGGTCCAGTCAAGGGGGAAAAATGGGAACAATCAGAGATTAGGCCAGCAACCAGTATGTTAAAAAACGCATACTGATACAAAGGAGGAACGTGGCTGGAGTTCAGGCCTCAGGCAAGCAGCAAGTTGATCCAGGCAGCAGGGATGACCCACAAGAAGCAGATGAAAGCGTGAGGCAGTTTGAGGAAGAAGAGACAGCAAAAGCCGTAGTTCTGAATCCAGAGAAGGAGCTCAGTTTAGGGCAGGGCAGGCTGCAGGCTCTCAGGGAATCTCTCCCCTAAATACCAACACCCGCTGCCAGTTGGTTTGGAATCTGGGCCTGAGCTGAGATCTAGTTCCTGAGCTACTTGGGAAATGATCCACCCACTGCTGAGGAGCAGCTCATTGAGCCTGAAACTAGGCTTACTTCATAAGGAGAGTTGTATCTAGTGCCACGGATTTCATACATTTCTAACCTTACCTGCAGACATAGCAAACGCTGCTCTGAAATAGAAGGTTGTAAGGAAAATGTGCTGGATTTTTGTAGCTGTTATAGAAATAAAGTTTAAAGTTTAGCAGAATTGAACCTTCCTCTTCTACTTGAGCTGTCTGTTTTCTTTTTAATAGGTGGAATTTGAAATATGCCTGAGGAGTAGATACAGATTTTGTCTCACACTATGGACTGGCAAGTTCTTTCTTCCATTTCTAGCAGATGAATCATCAGAAACGTGATACACATTTATACTTGCTAAGAAGACAGGAAAAAAAAATAGCTTAGGTCCTTTCTTGGGCAGAAGTTCTTGCTCAGTTCCAAGGTGTCTACACCACGAAGGAAGGTCATGGTCCACCACAGCAAAATCTATTTATATTGAAGGAAATGAAGTCTAAAGTAGGCAGCTGTTGCAAACTGACGAGAAGGCTGCCTGATCAACCTATTGATTTTTGACAGGAGTGCAAAAGTAGTATTTTGAAGCATACCAAAAGAAAAACCTCAAAAATTAAGCCTGAGGTACCTTGCACCAGAGAGTGGTTAAAAGACCTCTAGATGTTCTTCCTCCATACTGCAGGCATAAAAAAGATAGTGCTATAGGGACTGTAATTCTTAGGACTTCCTCGGTGAGCTTGGTCTAGGTTTAAAAGTTGAGTGGATTTAATAGGTTTTGCTCTGTTTATTTTTTTTCAGACTAGTTTTAAATCAACAGTTTTTCAGCTTCAGGATAACCCAATAAGTGTCTGGTATCCTAAATCCCCAAGGAGGGTTTTATGTGCACTGGGTTAATTCCAGGATTCTCCAGAAAAAATGTTGAGCTATTCAAGCTAATAAAGTTAGTTGAATTGGCTAAATTTGAAGTTGCTAAAGTTGGAACGGTTTCACTGGGAAGGTTCTCACAGATTTTGTCAATGGATTCTAGATCACCCTCTTTAACTGTAAAAGCAAAATTGGCACCATGCCTTTAAATCTAAATTTATCTAGCAGCATTTAAATAGGTGATGGCTTCTTTGCCAGTCATCATTCAGCCAAATGCAGCTTGGACTAAACAGAAAATAGGAAGTTATTCCCTCAGCTAATATGACTGCTTACATGATTACATGCAAGATATCGACTTAGAATTGGCCAGATTGAAGCCTGAAGCCACATTTGGTATGATGCTGAGAGTGACCATCGACTTTAAGGAGAACTTAGGGTACACACACACCACAGATGATACTCAGCACTTTACATACTCAAAAGCCAATTATGGAACACAAAAAGAAAGATTGGAAAGGTAAAATAATTTGATTGCTGTATAAAAGAAATGTTACTCTATCATAATTATATATATAACGGATGAGCATTTCAATGTCTAATATTTTGTAAGCTAAAGCATAGTAAGAATTGCACTATAGCTTGAGAAAGCCAGATCAATCAGTCTTGGATCTCGATTCAACTTGAAATTGCTGACTGGCATTTCATTTCTATTCATACCTTCTTTTTATTTTCTACTTGTTTGCTTTTTTAAAACAAAAAAAACCATGATTTTTTTTGTTCCAAATACTTCCAGCCTGTATCTTTGTTGTGTCAACCCAGTAACACTAACTCTCCAGCTAAATGCTATATTATGGCATAATATACTTTTTTTTTTTAAAGAGCCAAGTGAAAGAAATTTAAATTAAAAATGAAAATTTTGGCACAAAAAAAATTATATAAACTAGTTCAGTATAGACGTACAGAGGTATATGCTGGATTTTATATATCTATTCATAAATACATTGATGAATCTATACCCCCAAAAACAGAAGAAAAAAATGCATCATCAATGGAATAGAGTTTTGAATAAGCTTTTGAAATGTACATTTGAGTAAAAAATCTCCACTACTTTTAAGTTTGAGCATGGTCCATTTGTAAAAAGTTCAGGGAGTTCAATAACCAAGGAACTGGATTCAGTGATGAATAAAGCTCCTTCTGGTCCTTAGGTTTGCTTCACTGATAGAAGCCTAGAATCAGAAGACCTCTTCAGAGTTTATAGTCAGAGGCATAAACTCTGCAGGAGTTTGGTGTTGTTAGGTAAAGGAAGCATAAATCATGCCATGAAGCTAGAACAGTTTGAGTTCCATATCTAGGCAGCATGAAGTGACTGAAAGCTCATTTTGCTTCCATTCATTCATCTTTACTGTGTCTTTCATGTCCCACTCTGAGGATTCAAAACACTGCTCAAAGCAAAACAAACCAAACAAACAAACCAAAACAAAACAAAACCACAACAACCAAAAAATAACCACCCCACCACATTGCAGCTTAAACTTGGTTAGGAATGAGATAAAAGGAAATATTTAAGAGTATGTGGCTGAGTATAAAAGTCAAAG